CACACTAACGGTGAAGGGTCTTATCACTTGCCTAACTTCGACTCTATTATGGTTGTCTTGTGCCTTCAGCCTTCCCTTTTTGTCTAGAACTGTCCTAAGTTACTTAGTTCAATCGCTATCAACTTTTGGTAGAGGTATAAGGGTTTTTCAGAAAAATTTATAAAACGTGAAGGGTGTACCCCTCCGGATTTGTGTAATTTGCTAAAAACAATCTCAAAAAATTTTCTCGCTCGCTTTTCTGAAAAATTTCTAATCCTATTAGTGAGCTCAGCTAATTTCTGATCTATTGGTACCAAGATCAACTCGATATGATCAGTAGTTCCAAAGTTATTAACCAAAACGTCTTTTTTCCGAACTCAAAAAATTTTCTCTCTTATAGGTTCCGCCTAACTTTTTCCGCAAACCTGGTCCTTTCGACCTAAAAATTATTGATCCGAGCTCAGAAGGCCTATACTCTTCTAGTTCAATGCAAAAGACCCGATCTAAAACGCTATTGTAGAAAAATTTTGCGAAAAACTATGCTACCTGGACCCCTCCGGATTGATGAATCCACCAAATCAAACACGTTATGTTCGATTTCTCTGCAACCCGGAAGGCTTTCGGGTAGCGGATTTTAAGACTTGTAGATTCACTAGTGGACGTTGTCCGAACAACTATTTTTACTGTCCTACCTCAAAAATTTCAAAAAATTTTCTAAATTTTTAGTGTTTCTTACTATCAAAAATTGGGAAAATTTGGTTTTTTGTACCAAACTAGTTCCAACCTCTTCCGAACTAAAGTTAACCGGTTCCACTTATTACAGTAGTGCAGTTACGATGTAACACACTAACTTAGCGCTTTTTTCCGTTTCAAAAAATATCGATATCTCAAAAATCGCGACTTGTGGGGGGATCAAAATATCGCTATTTTGACCCTAAAAACCGGTCTGTTTTCGTTGTTTTTCACTGAAAAACGATATTAGACTATTAATATAGGCTATATAAATCATAATATTAGTAATACTATACCCCTCCGGGTTTGTTTATTATCCGAATTAAGGTGCTTAACTCGGATATTCGCAGTTCGGTGAAGGGTCACTACAGTGCAGCACTGTCGAGCCCCCCACAGATTACTATCTTACTTTTTGTACCAAAAGGGATACAAAACTTGTTAACGATACCCAACAGATTGTTGTTGTCGTTGAGCCCCTTCTTGTTGCTCCTTGAACTGCTTGCCGGATCGGTCTTCACCCAAGACCCTTCCGAATTGAGCGCAAATCAGCTGACCCTTCCGGATTGAGCGCAATTTATCATTAACGTGCTTAAATGCTCAAATAACCCTACAGTACAAGCCTCACAAACGGGCTACAAAATTGATCGTAACGATCCTGACTGATATAAATGCCTGTAACAACAATATATCTATCAACAACAAACGGGGGGGTTGAATCACATCTTGTCTGGGGGGATGATTTCTACTGATTTTTTACTTTTTTACTGTTTTTGGTTTTTTCGGTTATTTTTTATGTTTTTTGTTTTTCTTGGGTACTATACTACTTTTTGTTTGGTTTTGCTGATATCTTTAAGTGTTTTTGGTCACAAACCACTCAGGGGATGAGGGGTTCATGATTCCCCCCACCCTTCCTGGTTCGTGAATTTTCGGTCTTAACTAGGTTAAAAAACTATTCACGGTAATCCGGAAGGCTTCCGCTTTCCGAACTACCCTTCCGCCCCGGCAGTTTAGGCCTATTAAGGGCGTTAATGTGAGCATCCGCTCGGCGCGGAGTGCTCGTTAACGGTTCCGCCGGTCATGATGTTATGAAAGAATAACACCCAGGAGCGCCATAAAAACATACATGTAACATTCGCCCGGAAGATACATATCGACGGATAACAAAACTAAGTCTTAAGACGACTGGCTAGCGTCTAAACAGAGCTTTGCATGTTTTTCACCGTCTCTACCAAGCCAGTACTTTTCGGTGGTCTTTCTTACATCAGGCTGACAAAAACGTTACTGTTCTCCGGCTTCGACCAGAACGCTCAAATTAACTGAATTACATGCAAAATTAGTGAGCTCATGGCTGGGTCTCTGTATCCCCAGACCACGAGGTCACTCCTAAAAACAGGGCTACTACTTATCATATTACTATTGTTTTTGTTCAGTAGATAAAAATCATCATCTCCATCGAAGATGGATCAACCCTTTCCCCCCAACTCCTAGCACCTCATCCTTGTCAAAACTAATCAAAATATCAGTTAAATTCAAGTCAGGACATGACAGGATGCTAAAATTCAATACAAGTTCATAAAAGTTCCCGTCCCGAGACCCCTCCGGATTCCTGAATCCGGCGAATCAAGCTCCTCAACCTCAGGTTCACGCTAACTCGGAGGGCTGGTTTTTACCCTTCACCGTTGTTCGCAACGGCCTTGCAACTATTGTAACAGCACAATAGTTGCAACTCGGAACGTCCTCTGCTGTTCGGTAGTTCGTTGTTGTTTTTTAGTCTCGATTTTCGTACTGTTCGTAATCGCAGATAAAAGTTGTTCTGTTTCTTTCTGCTATTTTAGCTAAAATGGCCGTTTTAACATTTCTCAGAAATGTTACGTCATTACTTCGAAAATTTAAAATTTAGAATTCCAGAATCTTCTAGCCTTCACCGTTTGGCCAATCGTTCAAATAACGTCCTTATCCGTTCTAAATCGCCAATTCGGAAGGTTCACTGCTAAAATCCTGAATTCTGCAGAGACTGCATTTTTGCCATTCTGGTCGAATGTCACAGTCGAAGGTATTTGTCACGGTTATACCCAGCCAATAATGGTAAACGTGGACTAAAGACCATAAATAAACTAGGATAGACGGTTGCTGCGCTAGTAGTCGAGAATGTTACGACCATATTCTTAAGTTTTTTTTTCAATGTTTGTTTTTTTTTTGTTGGTGTGATGAGAGGATCGACGAAAAAAAAAATCGACGATCGACGATGAAAAAAATAAAATTTCGATAAAATTTCATCAGTGAAATTCAGCATCTCAAACTCACAACACGGCTTCCGACAAAAACGATCTACTGTTACAAACCTCATTGAGTATCTCCATAAAGTAATACTTACTATGATAATATCGAAATAAATTTCCTGGCTTGCCTCTACCTAGATTTCCAAAAAGCATTCGACAAGGTGAACCACGCAATGATAATTGAAGAAATTAGGAGCTTTGGTTTCACAGGACAATGTTTAATGCTACTAAAAATTATCTATCAGATAGAAAACAAACCGTTCGCATTGTACAAGCATATCCTAGCCATTACCAGTACACAGTGGTGTGCCTCAGGGGTCAATTCTCGGACCTTTGATGTTTATTCTCTATATAAATGACCTACCAGATTGTGCAATGTCAGCAAGTTTTGGCTACGCAGACGCTTACAAAATTGTTTGCAATGACCCATTAATTTTAAATATCGATGCGAAGAGAGTTTGGAATTGGTGTGTAAAGAATTCAATGGCAGTAAATGTGTCAAAAACTAAAATTCTCAGTGTGAAAGGAAATGCAAACGTTGAAGTAAATGGAACTGTTCTTGAAGAAACAGCAGAAATGAAAGATTTAGGTCTTATAATCACTAGCACATTAAGTTGGACTGAAAATGCTACAAATAGATCTGCCAAAGCTCTGAAGGCATTATGCTCTGTGAAAAGAAACATCTCCAAAATAACATCAAAGGCCTTGAAACTAAAATCATACGAATCATATGTTGCACCTATTGTAAGTTATGGCTCATCATTATGAAAACCCTCAAAAAGAGATCTCAAAATAATTGGAAGTGTGCAAAAGAAAGCAACAGCATGGATATTGAGTCCAACTCAAGAATACAAAGATCGATTGATTTCCCTACATATCCTTCCTCTGTCACTTTATCATGAACTACTCATTCCACTGCTACTGCACAAAATCCTAACTGGAAAAACTGAACTACAATGGAAAAAATTCATAAGTGTTAAGGAAAAAGGACAAACAAGATATGCGAGTATGAAAAAATACGAAAGCAAACAATTTCGACTGCAAAAATCAGAATCTGACTTTTTCCTGAGAGCCTGCAATATTGCGAACGCCTTGAATGAACACCTCAATTTCGATGTCATGGAGCACGAAAACATAAAAGAACTAATAACGAATGTTTTCTGGAGATATTTCAAAGAGAAATTCAACGAAAACGATCCATGCTCGTGGAGAATTGACTGCCGATGCATGAACTGTAAAAACATTAGCCAGAAAAAAAGAAACAATTCAAAAGATTGTTATTAAGTTTTTTTTGAATTTCTTTTTTTTTAAAGAAATTGTACTGAACGTTTCCAAAAAGGCAATTTTCTGAAGTTTTATTTTAAGCAATAAATTTTGTTAGCCCCTTCGCTTTCCGTCTAAAATGCTAGTTTTGCTTAAGAAAATTTAACGTCTTTGTTCCGTTTTCTTGGAGCCGTCTAATTTGCTTATCGTCGTATTTTCTAGCCCCCGTAAGCTAGGATAGCCGGATGCTGTGCAAATAGCACAAAATGTTCCGACCATATTCTTTAAAAAAGCACGGAATGTTCCGACCATATTCTTAAAAATGTTTTTTTTTCGTGCGTGGTGTGAAGAAAGAATCTGACCAAAACCTGAAAATTGACATAATTGACAGTCACAGTGAAAAGGGCAAATCTTTTTGAATTATTCTTGTTATGAATTTTGGAAAGTTTTTCCAAAAATGGCGGAAAAATTGTTTTTTTTTATCAGAGTTAAAATAAAGTTTCATTGTTTACTCTTCTATAAGAAGTCTCTTCGCTTGGCTAAAACTTAAAATTTTCAAACCGGTTTTTCTCGACACTTGGCTGACTCTTTCAAAAACTTTAATGTCGTTCAAACCAGGACTGAAAGGGCTTAAATATGATATCATTCGGCCTTTTCCGATGAATTTTTTGGAACCTGATTTTGAATTTTCCGTAGAGAACAAGAAAAAACTAAAGCTCACCCGAATACAAAGTCCCCCCCCCCCCCCATTTTGGAACAAAAAATAAACAATAGACAGAAAACAATTCGGGAAGGGCTTCTCCGCAACTTCAAAACAGAAAAAGCAAACTTAAAGCTTCAAAAAGCAAAATCGAATTGATTTGAGCTTGAAAGGCAAAATTATTTCTAAAATTGAACTTGTCGAATGAATTTGTTAGAAACCATACAATTGCAAACGGTTAGCATCTTCGCTCCAATTGGCCCAGTTTTGTTGATGTTTTAGATATCCTGTTTATGGCTTCTATAAACCCAAAGCTTGATAATTTTTTGGTCAAGAGATTATGCAGAGATGAGTACGAGAGTATTAAATCATGTGAAAGTGCTATCATTGATGCTAATGGAACTGAGCGATATGTTTTGTTAACTGATCGGAACCTGCGGCTTATCGACAGTCCTCCAAAAAATATCAAACTGCAAATATCTCTCTCCGACATAGTATCAGTAAGCTATGAGCACAACTATGTACCCTTTTTAAATGGTCTGGATCGTGAAAACACTCAGCACATCAAAGTTGAAATTTTAGATACTAATTTGAACAGGTTGGGTTCTAAGAAGAGCAGTAAGTCTATATCGGATACTCATTTTTTAGATTTGTACATTAGATCTAAAACATCCTCATTTTGCGCGAACATAAAGCATGCCGTTGCCAGATATATTATAAAAAGTACCCGGATGACAAGTATGGAAAACGACCCTGAGAACCAGATTTTTCTTAGCAAGCCTGAACACATTCGATTCCTTTTCCAAGAATTGAAGACTGACTTGCTCGAAAGTGACGGAGAAGTAGAAAACATGTTCATGTTGCTTAGAGAGCTTCTCCAGAGCGCTAGAAAAAGTTATTTTGTCAAGAAATTATTCTGGAAAGATTTTGTGCTGGTAGAGTTTTTCTTAGAGCAATTGAAAAAATATTGTCTTACATCATCTGTGAATCTTAGTTACAATCTAGCTGCTGATGCACGAAGTGACGAACTGGAACTGATAACTTTGATTATGGAGTTATTCGCAGAATTTGTTTGCGAAACGGAAAGTGTCAACGAGCGAAATGCATTTTTACAAGCTGAAGAATTCAGTTACGTTCGAAAACTAACAGTTTTTTGTCTTTCCGAACCCGCGATGCCAGAAAAGTTTAAAAAACCAATAAAAACAAGAAATATTGCGGATATTTTTGCTGGATCCTGTCGTTCAACAACGGAATCCGCGAATTCCCCAGCTGATGAACTGCTAATTAGTTACTGTAACTTTGCGCTAGCTCGACAAGCACTTCTGTTTGAGCTTACTATCTCTGCCGTAGAAATGAAATGGATGAATCCGAGCAACCGATTCGATATAAAGTGGCTGGCAGCTCAACTCGTTAAGCATGAAGAAGGTTTGTATGAGTTCAGCAGGGTTCTGATATGGCTAGCAATGGTCATACTTGATCTAACAGTGCCCGATACTCTGACTCCGAAACAGTCGTTGTGGATATATGAAATTTTTGGTTTCATTCAAATCCTGATCGATCACAGTCAGAAATTTGCCGGTTTTTTCCGCTGTGAGTTTCAAGAAGAGTTCAAGTACTTCTTCCTGGCCGAAATTGTGCGGAAGCGACTGGACGAAGAAAGTCGAATCAGCGCCAAAATTATGGGCCAGATGAAAACTCTCCGTGATGCTGTAGTTTCCCAGTAAATCATCTATCATTCTGTCATTTCAATTATCTATCCTCTGTAAATAGAATTTCTGTATATAAGTGTACAATTTAAGCAATGTAATATATTAATTAGATTCAATTTCGAGTACGCAACTCAAGCATAATATGGTTTCAAATACAGAAGTAAGTTAGGACCAATCAACACCCCAGTGAATGTCTATTGAATTAGATAAGCTTAAATGGGCAATTTTCAGAAGGCAATGGATATCGTGGGCGCTTTGTATTCCACAATCCCTTCCAACATGGAGGAGGAAACAGCGGAGGAGGGAGTTGAGACGCAGCCGATGATGTCAGCGCAAAACGAAGAGTACTTCTTCTTCTCTGACGGACACTCGGAGATGTCTGACAGTGAAGTAGTCGTGCAACAGCCACAAGAGGTAGTTCAATAAAATCTATCAGACGGATTATTGCGCTATTTGGCGAGCATTTAAGTAATTTTTTAGCGTACCTTGATGCTTGGGTATCTAGGCCTGAGATCAATTAGGCAATCACCGGTCCCATTCGCGCGTGGGGCTGAGATAGCGCAATAGCTACTTGAGGCTTGTTTCAGTTCAGGCAATTTCTGTTTATTACACCAGCAAAGCTTGTGTTATAGTATCAACTCTTTTTTTCCAACCTACGTCGCAAATATTGCTGCGACGCAAATATTTTTGCGACAAATTTGTTCATTTTGAAAGTGTTCATTTTGATCAATAACCAGCTATTAAGTACAGCCAATGCTAAGGATATTAACACAGACTATTATATTACATTTAGCACTTAGCTTCAAGGTATCATGGATCTGTAGCGTAGAGGTAGGGAAGGACACCCGCAACAAAATAAGAGGGTTCGAACCTGGACAGGGTCGGATGTTTTAATGAACTTTTCCGTAAACTAGCTAAAATGCGTCAGCTCTATAAATTGAGGCATGTTAGTTTTCAATTTTTTTTTTCAAATTGACTGGTACTGCTAATGCGTCATAATTGGCTTGCGTCAATTAGCAATTATGTAGACTCACAATTGGCGTGCGGCACTTAAGAAGTTTTGTAGAATCAAATTTTTAATCATTCAGATTTTCCCAATAGCGTTATCGGTCATGTTTTTGATTGTGTATGCGAAGTGCAACTTCGCCTCTGTGTAAAGATTTGCCCTCGATTCCCCAAAAAATGTGGAACAGCAGAATTCCCACTATCGAAACTGGAAACTGGTTCCTGTTCGTAAAAAAGTCTTATGAAAATGTATGGGATGTGATATTAATTGTTCCGACCATTGAAAATGAGGAGGAACTTTGTATTCGGGTGTTTTAGTTTCGTTTTGATTTCCACGCAAAATCAGCTTCGACAAATAATCATCGGATTGGGTGGAGTGATATATCATATTAAAGCCCTTTCAATTGTGATTCAAACGACCTTAAGGACATTTCAAATTTCTTTCCCATTGTCGAGAAAAACCGGTTTGAGTTTTTTGATTTTTCGTCTAATTTCGAGCGAGTGAGCATGCTTACGTTAGCTTTTTTATGCTTAATATCAGCCTTGGAATTTAGTTTTATTCAAATAAAGTTTGTTCTGGAGTTTTTAGCGCCCTATTAGGTATCAAAAAGATCAAAAATTTAAGAAACAAAGTTGAAAAACTTCAAAAAGAAAATTGGCGAAATTAAAAAAAAAATTTTACCATGTTTTTCGTTTTTCTCTAAAAGCGGTTTTTTCAATTTGCCTGTTTTAATATGGCAAAACTGCCTAAATTCTATTTTTTCGTCGAAATTCTGTTATCAGAAAAAAACGACACTAATTGAAAAAAAAAAATTTAAGACTATGGTCGGATCATTCTGTGCTACTTTCACAGTAACCGGCTATCCTTGTTTTAATTTTAATTTTTCAAGACTACTTTACTGATTTTTTCAAAAATGAATCCAATGGAAGGAAATTCCACCACCTCTCATGTGTGATGGCATATTCCCCTTGTATCTTTTTTTTTACCATACCTCACTATCTAAAGCCTCGGAAAAACTCAGTGGGGAGAATATTTAACCCAAATTTTTAGATGTTTTCATTTTCTCAAAAATTGTCCTGCAGTATTTGAGATTTTAAGTCCAATCGAAGGAACGGGTTATGGGAGGCTTCCCTGAATCATCGGCTACGCCCAAATTTTTCACACAAGAATTTATGGTGCTCGGAAAAGTCATACTTTGGTGTTTTAACTGTTTTTTGAAACTTTGGCAGAGATTTTTGTTTAGATCGAAAGAGCAGGTTTTGTAAAGCTTAGGCCATTTTTTTCCACAAAAAGTTATGGCCCTTGGACAAGTCAAATATTTGACTTTGGACCGTTTCTTGAAACTTTTTGCATTTTCTCGAAAGCATCAAATCTGAGATTTTGGCCTCAATGGAGAGAACGGCTTGTGGTAAGCTCCCCTGTATTACCGGGCATTCTCAATTGTTTTCGCAAAAAAGTAATTGTTTGCAGAAAAGTCATATTTCTGATTTTTTGAACATTTTTTGAAGCTATGACTTTTCGAAAATTACCCTCCCAAATCTAAGATTATAGAGTCAGAACTACTATATCTATTTTTCACTATAAAAGTTATTTTCCTTGGAAAAGAAAAAAAGTTGATTTTCTGGCCGTTTTTTGAAACTTTTTGATCTTCTCGAAGACTACCCTTACCAATGTGAAAGCTAGCCTCCCAAAAATCAAATATTTGATTTTATAGGTCCATAATTTTGAGTTTTGGCTTTGAAATCGAGGGTTTAATTGAGGAAACAGGTTCTGTTAAGCTTACGTTTATAAGTTGCTACGCCTTAAAGTTTGTCTGGAAGAAGCTCAATTTTGAATTTTCATACCGCTTTCATACAGCATCGGTAGAAAGAATCAAAAAATATCCAACAGGAACTTCAGTTTTACCTGTGCCCCTTGTTTTATACTGACAATTTATGATGATTTTAGTGGCATTTTAAACCTTTGTTTCTATCCTCAGTGAAGAAAAATGTGAAGCTATGTTCATAAAAATGTGAAGTTAACTTCATATGATGTTATGTTCATATCAGCATCACAAAAAAGGGTGAAATTAGGCATTGCGTTGTAGGCATTGTTGCGTGCCACGTGTTTCGTGTGCCGCAAGGAACTTTGATTGTAGATGCAATTGCAAAGGTTGTTCATTGTAATTTCAAGAGGGCTATAAAACTTGAAGTATAAAATCGTTGTTTTTTCGGCTCAACTTGTGTCTGCTCAAAGATTGTCGGCCATGTTTTCGCTCTGTCAGTTTTGGTCCAATAATATTTTGTTATTCAAATGTCTGACATTTTGCCTAAAATGAACTTCTATAGAGACTTGCGAAAACTTCAATTTTGTTAGATTTTTTCAATATTTTTGTTCATGTCTTTACCTTTAAGATAACCAAGGATTTTGCAATCGGTAACTAGACTTGTTCTTAGGCTAAAGCTTGTGATTCGAATCGGTCGGGTGCTGTTTTTTTTATTGCAAAGTTTGTGCATTTTTGGACGATCGTCCGTTTGCTTATTTTTGTCGACTTAATTCCCGTAGCCCGTTTTTTCTGAAGGTTCAGCTTTCTCTAACGCCATGCCTGACGACAAAGCACAGGATTTCCATTCCAGGAGCGATCAGTTTTTTTGCAAACTGAAAGTTTTTGGCTGTTTTCGGTTTTTGTCTGTCTGCTTATTTTTACAGGCTTAGTTCATGCAGTACGAACTTTTTGAAAGTTCGGCTTTTTTTTCTGGCTTTCCGGAAGCTCCTTGTAACATTTCTAGTGGTGCAGTCAGTTTTATTCGGAATATTTTGGGATTTTGCAGTTTTTACATTTTTTTATGACAAAAACAATTTTGAAGGTTTTTTCATTGTGATATTTTTTAATTTGATTTAAATCACAGTCAATTTTCGATTTTTTAAATCGATTTCATTCGCAGTCATTTTTGTATCGAAAGTAGTGCGAAGCTCAGCATCGCCTCTGTGTTTATGTTTTTGATGTATCGCAAGTGGAGCAAAGATCAGATTCGACTCAAATCAAAGGGGTTGTGGCGCAAATGCTAGAAAATGAGACTCGTAACGTCGGAAGTTCGAGTTCGGCGCATACAAATAGTTTCACTTTTATTTGGCGGTACTTATGCAGAATAGCATTGGCAATCTATACGCAACTGAAGCCTTTTTTTGGTAGCTAGGTTGGCGAATTTTCAAGTGACCGTAGCGCATATACGGGACGAGAGAGTCGTAATCTCCTCCGTATCGGATGTTCGATTCGGGCCCATAGAAAAATTTATATTTCTTAAGCCTTTCTTTTACTTTATTTTTTATTTCATTTGTTTTTAGCTGTTCAGAGATATGTTTTTCCGTTTTCTCCCTAGTGACTGCGAAGAGCAGCTTCAACCCTGTGTCAAGTAAATTTGATATTTATCGGTAATTTTTACATTTTCTCACGACGATTTTGTAAACTTTTTGATTTTTTTTTTGTTTTGCTCTGAGAAGGTTCATTCGGCTTAACTGGTTTTCGCTTAATAAATTTCGATTATTAGGGTTCAGACGCTTTTTGATGTCTCGCAGTTCTTTTGTTTTTGTTCAGGAAAAAGTTTTTACCCTTGCGATAAGCAAGGGTATTACAGTCGGTACTAGACTTTTCTCCCGTAAACAACTTAGTCCACAGGACTCATTGAACTCCTAAGGTACCTTGGTTCGCAGTGAATTCAAGTTTTGACGTTTTGAATTAGCCTGATGGTAAAGAATACGCCTGGACGGCAAAGGTCCTGGGTTCGAATCTGACCGCGACTTCTTTTTGAACGAGAAATATTCCATTTAAAAAAAATTATCGGCTTATTGATTGTCTGCTTATGTTTTGTCGGCCTAATTCCCAAATCATAGATTTTTTTCTTGCTATGCTTAATTTGTATTGTAGTTGCTCTTAGTGTTTTGATTTATTTCTGCTGTTTGTAATTTCTTGACTTGTATATATTTTTTTTTTTTTAGTTTTTTTTTCTGTCCGAATGATTTTGGCTGGTGTTTTATCGGCTCAGTGATCTTATTTTTATTCGTGTCAAGTAAAACGTAGTTTGTATGCTCACATCTAGATCGCACATTTTTTAAAGATCCTAATAGAAATTATAGTTTAAGTTTTCAGGTCATTCGTTTTTTTTGTCGTTTTCTTTTCGTTTTTTTTCGGGTTAATTGGTTTCGGAATTTTTTCTACATCGGCTTAATGGCCCCATATTGCATCGTTTGTTGAGCGATAAAAATAAAAAATTTACTGAGTTTCTTTTGAGGGGGCGAGCTTAACAAATTTATATAGTTTTGAAATTTTTTCCGAATCGTTCTTTTTTTTTTTATTTCGGGTTAAAGGGTTTTTGCTCAGACGTTTTTGGGTTTTTTCTCCCACCAGTCAAGTTTTCCGATACTAATTTTTACATTCTATTGTATTGATTCGTTTTTGGTTTAAGAGAAGTTCTAGTTTCTTTGTTTTTTCGATTAATTTTTTTGTTTTTTTTTTAATTTTTGTCGACCGTCTTTTTTTGGTTTTCATATTTGTACACTGTGCAAATATGTGCAAAATTTGTTCGTAATTAATTTGGGCTAGTGGTTTATTAAAATTCACTTCAATTTCATTTGCAAAAAAGATGGCAAATGACGCCGTCACTTAAAAACGAAATGGCGCGATCGTACTTGAACATCTTTTCGCTTCTTCCAAAGAGAAGTTAAATTAACAGGTTTTCCAGCGACAGAAATGTTTTAAAGTTTGATAAAACCTGAAGTTTTTTTAAAATTCGAATAGTTTTATCGTGACTTATTTTCTTTTTGGACACTTAAAAATTTCTTTTAAAAAAAGTAAATATAGTTTTTTCCGTTTTACTGAATGCATCGACGCTTCGAATTTTTCATCACAGAAATTGTGTTTTGGTTGAACTGGCGTTTACCCAGTTTTTGTCAATTTTGTTGCTGCTCGATAAATTTTTCTTGTTAGTGAACGCTGTTAATTGTGCTTCTCGACATGCTTTCCTCAAATTGAACATCATACAAGATAAACTCATAAAATTTTGTAGGTGTAGTTTTTTCGACTTGTTTTGTCGCTTGCTCAATAATGCTAAGTTTGTGCCGTGCGAAGCTCGCCTTCGTCTGATTCCCTTATTGGATAGCAAATTTTGCTCTCCAGCAGCAAAAGGCCGAAAAAAAGTGCAGAACTTACTTCTAAAAAAAAGGCCATGATTTTTAAGATTTTCTGTTTATTTTTTTGTCAGTAAAAAATATTGATGCACTCAGGTATAATGCATTTGTTGAGTTCAATTGAAATTCATTTGTTGAAAGTGACGTAAATAGCATTCTCCAAATACGAACGTGGAAATGGCGCAAAAAAAACGTGAATAATTTCTAGTTTCGAAAGTGGAATTTATTTTTAAGATTTCCCAGCGGAATAAAAACTTTACCTATTGATCCAGTTTTCTCAAGTTGGGTTCATGCTATCAAAAAAGAGCCAATCATAAATTGTTCTAGAAATTCAAAGAGCTTAAAGGGCATCTATTTTTTTTTGAAATTCGGAAGTTGAGATTTTTTTTAAGAAGAACTGTTTTTTTAATGTTTACTTGCGTTCATTACTCTTTTTCAATCATCGATTGGCAATGTTTAGATATTGCAGTGGGTGGAATAAAGATGTTACCTGATGATCCAGTTTGTTGGAGTTGGTTTAGTTGCTGGATGCGTGCAATTAGCAAGTGTTTCAAATCGGAATTTAGACTTTTTCGGTTTCCAACTAGTTAAACAAAATGCAGTTCAGATGGAATTTGTGGGCAACATAGTTGTTTTTGAGTGTCTGTGTTTAAATTGGCGTTCTATACGGGTATTTAATAAATTGGTTGTTTGGCTTGAAGAGGTTTCGGTTGGTGTTAAATCTGCGAGTTCTCTCCCATTTCGTCGTTTGTAGACCAATATTTATTTAAGTAAAACTTTGTTGGGGTATGTTCAAGATGTTTATAGCTCCAACTTTTCATGTCTTTGCTAAATTGCCGCCAAGCTTTATTTTGTCTATTAAGTAACTGCCTGATTAATTACTTCCTCTAGGTTTTTTAGTTTTTTGTTTGCACGAGTTGTTTATGTTGGCTGTTCGAATTTATGTTAATTTTTTTAATCAGCCAAGTTTTGGAAATTACATAAATTTAGGCAATGAGAAAAAATCAGAAACAAATTAATTTTACTCGTTAAACTTGAATCAGGCAAAAAAAGCTATTGTGAATGGCAAGCAGGGTTACAGTAAGCTATTGTAAGCCTGCTTGCTCGCTTTATTCGCTCGAAGTTAGTTCAAAAATAAAGAAATTTAAACTATTTTTTTCTTGTCACTGAGAAAATCTTTTCGAAAATTTTATTGTTGTTCGAATCACGACTGAAAAGGCTGTAATTTGATAAGGTACTAAGTTCCCTCTATTTTTAAATGATCGAAACAAAACGGATGTTTTCAAATGTGTTCTGCAATAATAACGTTTTTTCCTTGCCTGTTTTTTTTTTTCCTATAACGACTAATGTTCTATCACTGCGTTGCTGACAAGCAAGTGGTTACTTTTTGGTTTTTAGGTTAACAGTTGCCAAGCTATTGAAAGGACCTTTTAAATAGCCAGCCTTCTTTCGCATTGAGAAACGTTCAGATCTGATTTTCTTGAAACTCGGATAATTTTCGTGAGATCTATTTGGTAGTCGGAATAATAAGCTAGAGTGAATGCCAGATATAAAGTTTGTGAATGCCCAATAAAGTTTAACGGAATAAAAAAATCCGTAGCTTAACCGCGAAAAATCTACAAGTTGGAAATGTGTTCTTATAGGTGATAGTGGACGAGTCTAACTTGGAGATAGGACAGGACACTATGGTGGTGATGCACGATGACGTCATGGACGAGGAGGAGGTGATTCTGGGAGAGAGGACTGATGATGATTTGACCATTGACACAACACTGGGACGACATCATCAGACCATGGACGATGACTACAAACCGGTAATTTGGTATACGTGATACCAGTGTAACATGTAAATTTGTCCCATGTCAACTTGTCCCAGCCCATCTTGTCCTACTTTAATTTTCCCCACAAGACAACTTGTCCTTTGTCATCTTGTCCCTGATAATTACACTACCGTCAGCTAATTGTATTACTAAGAACTTTTTTCTAACATAAGTCGCAAATATTGGTGCCACTTTTAAGGCAATTTTACAGCTTTTTGATAATATGTGCCTTGACATTCGAATAGTAAACACTTAAAACAGTTGATGCATTTTTATTTCATCAAATGAACCGAAAAAAGCTATTTGTTTCAAACAAGGCAACAATAATAAAAACTCGATTTCAAAAATTTTTAACTCAATTTATCTTTTTGACTCTCTTTTTTAACTCTTTTTTGAAATGCAGAATTTATACATAATTTGGCTTTATGCTTTCCGATTTGTTACATGCAAAGTTAGTGTGGATGCCTTCAGTTTGTTATGTTCCAAATTATTACTTGCAAATTTTACTTGGTATTTGGTGCCACTTTTGGCGAATAGCATATGTAGCTGCTTTATTCGTGACTAGTATTTGTTTGTCGGTAGTTAAGAGTGCGTGGCTGTGCGGTTATTGCGTGAGACTCATAATCTCTCGATTGCAGTAGGGCGCAGATCGAATCCTTGACCTAGCCGAACTTTTATTAATTCGAGACTTATTTCTTTTTATTTCTCATTGCACTGTCTAGAGCTGCTTTTTGTCGTGTTTTCGGTTGTTTGCGAAGCGAAGCTTCGCCTCCGTGTGAATACTTAAAACTTGCTCAAGTTCTTTCATATCCTCGTAGATTATAGTGTCGCCATAAATAGGAAAGATATTTTTGCTGAACAAGCTTGAAACAAAACGCCGAATCATTAAAACTAAATCTAAAATGTGCTAAATCAAAATGAGTTTAGAGCATCCGTGAACTAAATGAAAGCCGCTAACTTTTGCGCAATTTTCATGTCGGTTTAGCTATATCTGAAAAAAAGATTGCTGATTTTGTAGGCTCACTTAGCATAGAGCTTGGTGCACTACACTCTTAGTCAAAAAGTCAAAGTTTTTATCATGAAACTGAAAAGAGGATGCCTTCAGTTTGTTTTTGTGAATGGCAAGCATAAATTTAGGCAATGAAACAAAACGGATGTTTTCAAATGTGTTCTGCAATAATAACGTTTTTTCCTTGCCTGTTTTTTTTCTATAACGACTAATGTTCTATCACTGCGTTGCTAAATCAAATGTTCTATCACTGCGTTGCTAAATCTAAATCAGTATCGAGATGAGGGCAGGAGCAAAATTATGGAAGTTTTTGGTCTCTTCCACCTCCCAAAATATGGGCTCTTGACGGCTGCTAAAAGTTAGAAAAGTGATGATTGTTGTAAAATCAATTTGAAAAGCAGCAAAATGCCGACAATTTGAATAAAATTATGCCTTTAATACTTACTTTAATTTTTACGAAATTTTTGCAAACAAATAATCGACTTCATGTCCTTGTTAAGGAAACTACTAAAAATGTTTTGGATTTCTGCATGGATATCGCGATACTTCTTCCGACCCTGGTTCTGCGTCCCCTCATAGCCTTCAATTAAACTTCTGATTCGTCGAGTCCATTTGAATCATTTTGAGAAAGTTGTAGAGGCTCGGGTGACTTCCTTGCAATAACGCGATCACTCGGAGATGACAGCCTTCAACGGCGGCTGTCGTTCGGATCAAACCTTCCGCTGCTTGTCAGGAATAGTTCCAGAGACCTATAGGAAAAAGGGCTGTTTTATTTTTCATCCTATTGTTTCCCCGTTTATGTAGCTCCTCTGGAAGTTTGTCGCACTATCGTCGATTTAGTCTGCGACGCATTGCTCGAGATCCAATCGGTCAACCACATGCTCGGTTCCCTCAATAATGCTCCTTAACGATTGTTCGACTAAGCCAGTTGTAACAAGACTTAAGGCGAGTATTAAACGGAGAGCCGAGTTTAGTTCACAATTGTTTTCGTAAATTTTCTTCGAACCCAGCTTGCTGATTTAGCGAAAAAAATGCTTGGCAGAGGTGAAAGTAACAGCCTTTGATTGAAGAATGCATTTGTGAAAGCATTGTCTGCTGCTTGTTCAGGAATCCTTGATGGCTGCAACTTGTCAGAGACAGTATATGTAGCTTTTAGGAACTTGAACTTCTCATGCGTCTGTTCAGTTTTATTGAGAAGTAGAGCCTAAATGAAAGATCGTTAAAAAACGCCAATTTGATTATTTTATGCTTTAGTAGCATAAAGCTGGTGAAATTGCATCGGGCAATTTTTGACTTAACCATTGCAAGGCCAGAGACAATTGTGAGTTTTTAGGGCTTGAGAATTAAAATTAAAATTTGTTCGGGATCCATAATTGCGCTGTCGATTAAACAGAAATCAGTATATTCCACTGGAATTACAAAATGTCCGTCTTGAATGATGGAGGCAGATGGAGCTCAGTTCTGTTTGTGGCAGTTGAAAGTACTCTTTATTACTGCTCTGCTTGGCAAGCGTAACTGCACTGCTATTTCGTCAGATGCTTCCTGTGGCAAGTGGCAATTATACTGCTATTGACAGGTAACAGTTGCTGCTTGTTTTCATTTGATACATTATCTGACTCGCCTCAATTTTTCCAGGCCTAACATTGTGACTGTGTTCGTTTTGGTTAGTACCAGTTCATCACCAGCTGCTACGCGAGCATTCAGCATTTGTGTGAACTGTATCTCGCGCATTTCCTGTATTCAGTAGTTCTTGTTGTTTGCTTTTTTTTGTAAAATTGCGTCCGTCAATTTTGAGCGCTAGTTTGTTTCATTTATATTTTTCCCACGTTTTTTTCCATATTAATTCATCGTAATTATGTTGTAGATTTGCGGAAAAAATGTTCAAGCAATGACAAAAATTAAAATTATTACCTTGTTTTGTTTTCTTTCAATAGCGTGAGTTGACAAAAAAATTATGGCTCAGACGATATTTAAGGCTCAAATTTTTCTTTTCGCAAACTAAGTTTTCAGCTGGTCCTGAAAAAGACTCGATTTTAACATCAAATAATTGACTAGAATTGTTAATTGTGGGACAAAACGGCAAAGGATAAGTTGGCTTGTGGGGCAAGTTGGCATAGGACAAATTTCTTATGGGCAATAAAGTATAGGGCAAGATGACATAGGACCTATTGTCCTGGGGCTAATAAGCTTGACACCGATATCAGATAGAGATTATTGGTACAAAGGAGGCTGCAGCTCGAAGGTACAAAGGAGGCTGCAACTTTACGTTGTCGACAAAAAATCGTTGCTTTTTTTTTTTTACAAAACCCAGGCTCCCCCTTAAGAATCTCAAGTGCGTGCATATCTCACGCACCCTTTCTTGCAAAATATGAAGTTTCAAAGTTTATGCTGTTGAATCGTTTCGAATTTTTGTTTGAAATATGAATGAAAGTAGCTTAAGTTAGCCACATTTTGAAATATTTTTTAGAGGTCAGACGTTTCTTACAAGATGCGTTTCTTCATTATAATTGATATGTCATATAAATTTCGAGGCTCTTGTTCCCGGCCGCGTGTAAGCATCAGTTTTGGTGTAACAAGGGGTCTAACAAGGTTATGTATCAAGGCCAAATATGTTTTTTGTAGCCTAAATAATCCGCCTGTCGATTTTTTTTAACAATAGACTACGGAAAAATGACCTAAAAATCTCGTAGGTGAGGAGTGGGGTGTTTGAATAGGAAAAAGGCAATGCCAGTTTTAGAAAAGCTGAAAGGGGGGATTATTAAGTAGATCCACAAGTTCATCCAGATACAGAATCTCGAATTAGGTGTATATTTATCAGGTTTTGTTAAACAGGTGTTAGACGAGAAGGAGCGTGAGAAAATGTTCAGGCTAGCGGTGCGCGAAGACGAAGATGGAACTTCTCCCAGGGGAGGCAAGTTCTACAGTTGCGATCAATGCGACGAGTCTTTTGGCAGGAAAGTGATGTTGGAAAAGCACATTGAAAAGTACCACAAGGATGACCCCAGACCCTACACGTGTACAATTTGTCTGAAGAAGTTCAAGAAAAGGAGCAAGTTACAGAAACACAGCTGGACTCACATTGGTCAGTTGGTGGACCAGAGCAGTAAAAAATCAAGCCGACGAACTCCGAAAAAGACGAAATTGATTGAGGCACCTCGAGAGGATTCAGACGAAGAACCGTCCATGACGACTGTGAAGCAAAAGGGAGGAAAAGCAGGATTTGTAAAGAAAGGCAAGCATTCCAAGTTCAAGTGCGATATGTGCAAGAAAGGATTCTCAAATCCCACAAAGTTGTTGTTGCATAAAAGGACATCACACAAGAATAATCAGTGTGAGATATGTATGGAGATATACGCTAATAAGAAAGAACTGGAGAAGCACAGAAAGGAAGTGCATCCCGGAGAAAGGCCATTCAAGTGTTCAGCCTGTCCCAAAAAGTTCATGTTGGAGCACCAGCGAATGAGACATGAAATGATTCACAGTGACGAAGCACCGTTCAGATGTGAGCAATGTGATCGAGGATTCCTCACCAAAATGAACATGAACAAACATCTGGAATCTCATCAGGAGTACCAGTGCAAAATTTGCGGCAAAGTCACCTTTACAAGGAAAGACAAAAAGGCGCACGAGAAAGAACATGCAATCGAGGAAGAGTATCCTTGCCGCGCATGTGGCGAAAAGTTCAACAAGATCTCAGATCTGACTCAACATTGCAAATCAAAACACAAAGAGATGAAATTGCACAGTGCGAAGAAGTCTCATTCGTCAAACACAGGGCCAGCCGAGTGCAGGTTATGCGGGAAGTTATTTCAAAGTGGAAGCCAAATGAAAAAGCATTTCTCTTTGGTACATAAAGAGCCAATCTTCTGTAAGTACTGTCCTAAAAGCTACTCATCTAGAAAAAAAGTAGAAGACCACGAGCGAATTCATACCGGAGAGAAACCTTTTCAGTGCAAACAGTGCAATGAGACATTTGTCAGTGTCGAGCAATTGAAGTCGCATTCGAAGACAATGCATAGTGGAGGCAAGAATAAAATCCAAAGTCTGACATGTTCTGTATGTACTCAAAAGTTTGAGAAATCTGAGTACCTTACGAGACATCGGAGAACTCATTATGACGAGAAGCCTTATCAATGTGAGATATGTGGTCTAAGATTCCATCAACTAACACTTCTGAAGTCTCATTTGGACATGCATACGAATAACAAAATGTATGATTGTCAAATATGTACGCGCAAGTTCACGAAAGCGCAAGTGAGGAACGACCATACAGTTGTTCATTCAGGGATCCCGTTGCAATGTTTCGTATGTTCTCAAGAGTTTACAGACCAAAGTCAGCTGATCAAACATGAGAGAAGAATTCACGCGGGTGAGAAGGCGTTCCAATGTTTGATCTGCCATGAGATCTTTGATCATAGATGGAGTTTGTTCAGACATGAGTTGATTCATAACGGGGAGTTCCCTCTTCTATGTAAAGTGAGGGGGCTGCAAATAGAAGACAACATTGTGGAGTTAGACTACCATACCGAGTGTTTCTTGGCCAGAAGACGGGAGCAGATGCTGTCACTGCATAATGAGTAAAAAACATCGTTGAATTCGATACAGTTGAGAAGTTTGTATTTTTTTTGGCTCTTTTCCACTTTCCCCAAATTTTAAATTATTCATTTTTTTTTCAGTTGTATTCCGCTATTGTGGCTGAATGCAAGCTTTTGCGATGAAAGATATGAAAAACAAATGTGTTAGCGATAGTTAGTTTGTTCACCATGCAAATTTTCATTACATTATGTCAATGTAAAGTTAGTTTTTAAAAACTGAAATTGAAATGTGGGGGGGGGGGGGGGGTGGAAAATAGACTTTTTTTATAACAGAGAGTTTTTGCTATATTTCAAGTCTCTAAGAGCACCATTTGAAATCATCGGGTTCATTATGTTTAGATTTCTGAGCTATGACTCTGCGAAAGCTCTCTTATCTTTTGTATTTTGGGAGCTGAAGTAAATAGACGAATTATTTTTTTACTGTGCATAATTCAGTGAAACTTTAGGTTGCATGTTTTTATATTTTATCGTAGTTGTTACTTGTTTTTTTTTGTCTCTTTGCGCTGTTAACAGTGTGTTTTTTGTAAGTAATAAATAATTAAATTAAATTGTAATTAGCAATTAGCTAATCAAAAACCTTATTGTTCCGACTTTCGATACGAAAGTAACGGAATATTTGTGCTCGGGGTGGGGTTTTTTTTTCTTCAGACAAATTTCGACTTTTTAACTAGCTATTTTTGACGGAATTTTCTTAAATCATTCGAAAGATATGGTTGTCCTGAGCTTAAATTTGAAAAGATATTTCACCTGTGATCATTTTTCGTAAAGTTATGAGGGTTTAAGTATAGCCATTTTGGGAAAATTAACGCGCGATACATTTAGCGCTATTAACGCGTCAGCGGAGAGTTTATCCGTCTTAATATCGTTCCAAATTGGTTGAAAGAAGCTTATTTGCCATAATTGATTTGTTACAAGGAGCGAAATCTATCCTTTTGTTCTTTATATGGCGTGTGGGGGGATGATTTCCACAAAAATTTTCAAATTTCAAATTTTAGAAATTTTTTTTTTTCATTTTGTTTTATTTTATTTAATTTTTAAATGTTATTACTGCTCCATAAATCTTAAAAGGCAGTCGGAACATTCAGGGCTTCGCCCTGATACGAGCAGTCTTGTTGATCCTTTAGTACTATCTAAACCTAAATATACAACTATTACAATGAAAGAAATTGAAAATTGGGGAAATGTGACCCAAAATAACGATATGAATCTTTTTCAGATTGAATGTCATTGTTACCATGGAATCAATATCAGTGGGCCAGATTCCATGCCAAGTTACACTCATTTCAGGGAACACTTACAAGCTCTACCTTCAGCCAAGCGCTGTTCCAGCCAAGACCATATCACCCCCAAAAATTTGCCCAAGACCAGTGGAATATGAACATGTAACACCCCAGTCAGATGGGGTTGGTATGTACTCATCGCAACCTGTCACTTTCCTCGAGTTTCCAAATAGTTATCAGCAGAATCAAAATTTGAGTTATAATCACCCCTCGCAAAATACTGTATATCGTGAGATTCCTGTTACAGATGTGCCTGCTTACCAGAATATTTCTGATTGCAACATTCCACTACAAACGAATTTGGAGCTCTTGATTAACTCTAATGTTGAAGATGCCCCTATTGACATCGAAAACTTAAGCGAACATGGTGAATTTGAACAATTTACGAACTCAACAATACTTGATGTTCTAGGAAATGAGTTGGACACAAGTGAAGATGAGTATGTCGCTGAATCAGCGTGGGCTGGAATAAATACAGCGGTAGCTTCTAAAAACCCACTCAAATTTGATTGCAGTGAATGCGGTGCGAAATTTGACAATATTCTAATGTTGACAGAGCACAACTGTTATGAGGAACCAATGTCCAATCAACCACATGTCATGAAAAATGGCACTTCTCAGGAACCTATTTGCCTTCAAAGTGACTCAGGTGTGCCGCAAAATAGTCCAACTGTTGTTCCACAAGGTTTTCTCAAGTGCCCTGGCTGCGCGAATCTTTTCACTGAAAAATATTTTGAAAGTCAGCATCAACTCAAGTGTTCTTTCCTGGAAAAGCCATCGCCACCACGTAGACGACAGCAGAAAAAAGCTAAACCACCTTCGGAAAAGAAGAAACCGCAGACGACCGAGGCTACAGTTTTTTTGACAACCGCTAAAGGTAGAGCACGTAAACAAAATAGAACATGCAGTTTTTGCGGCGAAACGTTCACAAAAGTCATTGAAATGAGCTCCCATAGGTGCAAATATTTTTCAAAGCCGACCACAAAATGCATTCTGTGCAAAGCCCTTCTTTATAGTTATCAGCATTCGAAAGTTCATGAAAGAAGTTGCTTTGAACGGCGCGACCAACAACTTTTCAAATCTTTCGAAACGGTTTTGAAATACAGAAAAACTGCCTTGGAATATCTGGGTAAATGTAAAGCTCCGCTTGTAGATATGGATCCACGAGCTGAAGATGCAATTAGACGTTTTTGGAAGATTAAGGAAGACAAATTTCATTTAAGCTCTACATGGAAATGAAATTTTACGAATTCTACAAATATGTTTTGTTACGTGAAGGGAAAGGAAACCTCACTGTCTATAAATTGGTTAGCTAGCAAATATTTTGTTTTGGTTATTTTTTCTATCAAATAAAGTTAAATGAAGTTTAATTTTGTTTTAATTTCGCTTGGCTACAGGAGTTAGATTGAAAAACAAGTCACATAGCATAGGTATTTTTACTGCAAGTTTTGAGCTTTAAAAGTTCTTGCGCCTATACTACAAATCTTAAAAATTCATCAAAATTACAGCGGTCTAATTTGATTGACAAATTTTGAACCCTAAAATAAGTTGAAACTGGACTAGTATGTAGTTTGGATTTTTATCTATCTATACGTTATATAATTGGCCTTTCCTTTTGACTCATGTTTAAGAAGTCCCTAAATTGACATGTTTAAGGTTTTTGAACATATGATTTGTTGCATAATCATTGAGAGGTTTTTTGCACTTTTAAGCTATATCGTATATTGCAATGCTTTAGAATTTTTACTTGGCACATGTTTAAGAAGTACCTATGTTGGTTTGTTACAAGGCCAAAACATTGAAATGGTTGAAATGTTTCCTCGAGTCGACGTTTCAAAATCTGTTGGAGCGCGAATGCTTTAACTCAACATTTTTCCTGTATTCGCTATATTCCTATATTCGGTAAAACTTGTTTCACAATTTATTTAACTAAATTATAAATTATCAGCCCCATAGTGGGGTGCTGTCAGATTACATTCATAGGTTGCAAATCTGGTGTCCAAATTTGATTGCTCAAATCCTTGCTCAAATCCTTTTGGTTTTGGAGATATGGCGTTTTTTTATAATTAAAAAAACATAGGTATAACATAAACTAACCGAACTTGAAGTTCTCAACCCTATAGTGGGCTGCTGTCAGGGTACACTCAGAAGTTTCAAATCTGGCGTCTAAGTATGACTGCTCGAGTCGTTTTGGTTTTCGAGTTATGGCGTTTTTATGATTTTTCATTTTATTTCAAAATTAACAAAAATTCAAGCTACTTGAAGTTGTCAAACCTAAGGCGAAGTTTTATCACGCACAGTTCGGTGTTGCAACTTTGCTCTCTAAAATTGACGGCCCTTATCTTTGTGGCTTCCATGAGCTGGCGATTTTATGGTTTTTCATTTTCATTTTTAAATTACTTGAATTTAACTTAAACTAACTGATCTTAAAATTCTGAACACTGAAGGTCGGTTCTGTCAGGGTCTATTTAGGCCTCTAACTTTTACTGCCCAAGTCTTTTTTGTTTCCGAGTTATGGCGTTTCTCATGATTTTTTTCAATATTTTTTCAAAAAAAAAACGTAGATTTAAAAAGAAGTAATAGAAATTGTCAACCCTATGGTGGGATACTGTCAGGGTACAATATAGGGAAGCAAATCTGTCCTCTTTTTTATTCTGCTCATATCAGATTGGTTTCCGAGATATGGCGTTTATCTTTACAGTTAATCTTCACGGTTGTATTAAATTTCGCTGTTTTGGTACATGTTTTCGGAAGCTCTTTTTTACCTTAAACGATCTGTTTGAAGCACCGTAGGTGCAAGTTCTGCGCTAGTTTTTCTAAATGGTGGCATTTGGGTTGGAATTTTGCCAAACAATTTATACCGCTATATTCCTGCTGAAGTTTTGAGAAATTGTATCATAAAAATTTTAAACCTCAATGCCACCCAATTCCCAGAAATCGCAAGCTAAATTTGAGTGCTCGAGAACTGGTTAAATGTGGCTGAACAACCTTTGAAGTGAATTTATCATTTGAAAATACGAAAACTTTAGATGAAATAATGTACATACTTTTTTCAGGGTTAAAATGAGCGCATCGAGCAAGCAGTACAAATGTACTGTATGCAACAGAGAATTCGGACGAGAAAGTGCCCTAGAAAACCACATAAACTTAGCGCACCCGACGCAGAAGAAACAAGAACAGTCAGAAGAGAAAGAGGAAAAATCTAACTTCAAAATCGCGAAAAACAATGAATCTAAAGCTACAATACAAATCAGTAAGCTAAAATTTAAGAAAGGAAAACCTAAAAAATCAGTTTTTATAGCCAGTAAATTTTTGCAAATCGCCAGGCGAAAAAATGCAAACAAATCGTCATCTAAAGATTCCAAAAATAGAACAAAAATCGACAACCCTAGTGCTATAAGACCATCTGTGAAATCCCCTGACGCCAAAACGAAACTCAAAGCAACTGTAAGAAGGACTAAGAGTATTGGTAAAATTGATAAACACTCCGAACCAGAAACAAGGAGTCGAGGCGCTCCGTCCAAATCAGCAGAAAAGAAAGAGCCGGATTTCAACGCAGCGCTTCAGTTTGGTTTTAAAAGCATAAAGGAAATGTTCCGAAAAACTGCAGTAAGCTTAAGCATGGAAAGAATTGAGGTCCCCCATAAATTGTGGCCAATTATAGAGAAAATTGAGACTGAGTTTAGAAATAAACAAAATGAAACGAAAACAGAAAATGCTAACGAGAAGTTGCCGCAAATTAAGTCCAATGAAGATGCAGGTTCAAAAAGAAACGTTCGAAAGAGAGTAAAACGAGATGTTTCGGTTGAAAATGTTTCAATTGATAAGAAGCGAAAATTGGAGACACCTCAAAATAGTGAAAAGGAACTGCATATAGCATCCGATGTAATTAAGAAAACGCGTGAATCAAAGGCAGATGAAAAATCTGAGAGAACTACCAAGCAAACGCTAGCTGTCCAAGCAGCGAAAAAAGTAATGAGAGCGAGCTTGTCTAGAAAAAGTTCCAGCCGAAGTCCCTTGAAAGCACCTCTGAAACGCAAAACTGCAGTTCGTGAAACCAGTAAGCAAAGATCCAATTTTCCGAGTTATAAATCACTCCCAACACAAATGTCCAAAAAATCTACAGAAGTAATTTGTGAGCCGACAGTAGTTCAACCGGTCGCTAGTGCTGCCGAAAATCTAGACATAGTAGTCCCCGTCATTGAAGCAAGGAGCGGCAGAGCTATCAAAAAGCCAACAAAATTTATGGACCAAGACTTCGTCATGCCGGTCAAGCTGAACGCAGTGTCGCCTAAGTTTCCAAAAAACAAAGCTGCTGCTGAAAGTGCAGGCAGCAGAAAAAGGAAAATTGATCAAGTTAGCTCGAAGTCTCAGCGCAAAGTCGACACCAAGAAAAGTAATGCCACAAAATATATAGTCCCAAGCGATGAAGTTTCTGTGGACAAAGAAAATAAAGCACCTGCTCTGAATGAATCACCAAGTCTAGCAGTTGGAGTTGATGGCAAGGAGTATACGTGCGGAATTTGCAGCAGAGGATTTTCACGCCTGGCAGCTTTGGAGAAGCATAAAAACTCGAATCACCAGAAGCAGCAAAGGTTCCCTGCTGTTAAATTTACTACGAAAGACGCCCAAAAACAAGTGAAAGGAGCTAAAAGGTTGAACTATAAATGTTCGATATGCAAGAAATTGTTCTCAAAACAAGCTAATTTTAATGAGCACATGAAAACGCATGCTTCGGTTAAGTGCAGTGACTGCGGGAAATTATTCAAGGACCGAAAATTGCTAAACGCTCACAGAGTCAAAGTTCACAAAGAAGATCCATTTTCGTGCAAAGGATGTACTGACACCTTTTTGACCAAATCTTTACTTCAAACTCACATAAAGCTTGTTCACAATGATAATGACATTGATCTGCCTGTTACAGAGAAGAAGTTAGTATCTTTTGACTGTGAAATTTGCGGGAAAAAATTTTACAGAAAATCAAGATTTGATTCCCATTGGGAAACGCATGAGAAAAGTCGCCTCAAATGCGATGTTTGTGACGCGCAATATAAAAGTTTTGATGAGCTAATGTTGCACTCTTGTGATGACAACATGCATCCTTGCCCTGAGTGTACATTACGTTTCAAGCAGAGAGCTTTACTAAATCAACATATAGGCAGGGTGCATAAAGACAAACCTTTCGTGTGCAGATTCTGTAAAAAGAAGTTCGCTACACAGCCTGCATTGAAAGGTCATGAAAACTCACACAGTGAGGCAAATGAAATGATGGGACTTCAAATATCCCCTGAAAGTGACAAGCAGAAGTGGAAACTTTATTGTGAAATGTGCAACCAAAGGTTTTCATCTTTGAACTCTAAAAAGCAACACATGACTAAAGTGCATGGACCAGAGTGGAGACATTTGTGTGTGGCGTGCTGCAAGATATTCCCAGACAGAGGCATGTTGCTCAGACACCAGATCATACATAAGACTGTAGGGGCTGAAGGGGAAAGTTATCGGTTGGTTCCTAAAGAGAGACATCCACACGAAGAAACTGTGATTCTTAATGAAGAAAGCTCAGTATTAACACCTATGACTCCTTACGTCATTGAAACGTATCAGTCAAGTGAACCGACTTCTATGATTATAGAAGACGAGGTGCTTGATTCGAATCAAACTGGTGCGATCAAAAAAGAAGATCTCATATCATCCGAAAAGTTGGTGTTTGAGGATGATAATTCATCAAAGGTTTCCGACGTCTTAAGCATACGATGCAATTTCTGCAAAGATAAGTTTTCCGATGTTCTAGCTTTGAACGAACACATACAATCTAGTCACTATGATGAGTTGAACCCGCAGTATAAATGTGAAATATGCCTGGAGTCATTCCGGGCTTTCACTGCGTATGTTCAACACATGAGAACCCACCCTGAGTCCATGCTGTTCACTTGCAAGTTCTGTGACAAAAGGTTTTTTACTGAGAAGCGTCTCAATGCTCACATGACCATGCTCCACAAAGATGAAATTCAGGAGTATCAGTGCAAGTTCTGCGATGAACTATTTCATGTAAGCATTTTGGACTTTCTTCAAACAGCAGTTATGATTATGGGCAAAATATTGGTAAAATGATTTTTTACGCTTACAAGAGCCAGTGTCTTGTAACCAGGAACTTGAATTTTTCCTGTAGGCACTTTTTTATGGAGCCTCAACTGAATTTTTCCTGTAGGCACTTTATTATGGAGCCTCAATACTTTCGAGGCCATTCTCACTGGGTATAGCGGTAACGGGGTTGCCTTGGGGTCCTTAGATCTGTGATATGAATTCCGGCTTGACTGTGTTTTTTTGGTACTTATGATTTTGAATTTTTGTCTTGAAAATTAAGTGTTCGGACTATCGTTTGTCTGCTTAATTTGTAAGCTTAATCTTTAGGTCTGTGATATGAATTTGGGCTTGACTTTGGATTTTTTTGATACGTCTTAATTTGAAATTTATTTTGAAAATTTTTGAGTAGTCAGACTATCGTTTGTCGGCTTAAGATACCACACGACAGGCTGATGCTTTTTGGTATTATCCAAAAACGAACTAAATGGTAAATGCACAATTTCGTAGATAGTATGCTTATACGTTTCTGGCTTGAAAATAAAATTATTATTACCAATTCTACTTTTTACTGTAGCAATCAGCGTAGTGTGTTAGTACGAACCTTCTTCTAACTAACTCGCAAATCAAAGTGTTTATTCTAAAAGGAAAGTTTTCACTTATTTGGTGGCAATTTTAATATAATCACGATCTAGCATTGGAAATTTCATAGCTTTATTTGTGGCTAGTGTTTGTGATATATTAAGCGTGCGTGGCTGAGTGTTTACTGCGTGAGACTCATGTTCTCTAGGTCGCAGTAGGTCACAGATGGAATCCGAGACCTATTCCAGGCTTTATTCTACTCTTTTTTATTGAACTTTATACAAGCTTAGCTTATGTTATGCCAACTAAATCACCTTATTTTGTGTAGTTTGAAAGCAGAAAGATAACTTTTTTTGTTTTTTTTATGTTTCATGAAGGATGGTTATAAAGTTTTCAAATTTAATAGCTTTAAATTTTTTCGGTCAAATTTTTTTGGATGGCTTTTTTGTCTTGAACGCTTGTCTGACCAAGTATTTTCGTCTTAGTAAGCGCTCGGGAAGCGATACTAATTGCATATTTAACGCTGGTGATTGTGTTTTATGACAGTTTTTCAGTAAATTGAACGTAATTCAAGACAACCAACACACTTCGTTTTTTTTTGACTACGTGATTTACTTCTCGTTTTCTATTAGCCACTATGCTATGTTATGCTTGCGTTTTACCGCACGTGTTACGAAACTCCGCTTCGCCCATGTGTCTAAACTTAATTTTTTGTGATTATTAAGAGTTAGCGCTTATACCTCAACAAAGAAAGAAGAGCAAAAGTGCGAAACAAAAATTAATCAGGTATCGCTGCAATAAAATCGGTTGCTGTTTTCTTTTGCAGGACTACAAAGAGTTCAGCAAACATAGAAAAACTCACCCTGAAGACGACCCATACCTCTGTATCCATTGTAACGCCTCTTTCAGCAGTAAACACGCTTTGAAGTCCCATCTTCCTCTCCATGGAATCCGAGTGAACGAAACTCAATATAGGATCTCTTGTGACTACTGCTTCAAAGTATTTGCAAATAGTAAGAAAGTTGTCGAACATCTTAAGAATAACTGTTCTCAGTTCAAGGCATCCCGTGACTTGCAAGCATCTAAACAATCCATAGAAACATCTCGAAAAACGATTCAAACAGTGCCAAAGTTCTCGCGCTGTGATATTTGCCACAAGAAGTTCGGATCTCGGTCTGCCATGAAGTTCCACCAACAACTACATTTCAAGGACAAGAGATTTGCTTGTGAGTTCTGTGGACTAGGTTTCGGAGACAACAGCGACTTGGCGAGACACAGATTAGAGCACAACTATGACGCAGAGTTCAAGTGCTTCGTCTGCAGTCGGATGTTCCTGGATACCGAGGAGCTGTTGCGGCATGAGACACTTCACAGGCAGACGAACTCGCTCTTCTGTTCTTTGAAACTCATCGGACATACAACAATTAAAGACCGGTCAGGCACACATTCAGCTTCTGCTTCTTCAATACAACTTGTGGATATCAACCCAATAGTAGAGGATCTCGTGGCCAGAAAGTGGCGAGAATTACCTTGAATTAAATAAGTTTCTCAAAAAATTGTTTATTGAGCTAACGTTGTCAAATCAGCAATTTTAATTTTGACCACAAACGCTATCTAACCTAAATGGGTGAGAAGGGAAAAAATTACTGGTTAAATCAATGGTAATCATCAGTGAAGAAATAGATTTTATATGTTTACCCGTGCAATTGTCAAGGGTAGTGTGCATTACGAAAAATCAGGTGCATTACGAAAAATCACGTGCATTACGATTTCGATGACTGTTTTTGCACATTTGGCCCAGTCGGGAGCCGATTTTTTTCTGTTGTCTTTTTATTTGATTGGAAAATTATAGTTGGAGCATCGTTTTCTGCTTATCTCTGTCGGCTTACTTTCGAGAATAGGGCTTTTTCTTCTGATTCAAGCATTTTTTGTAACCGAAATCCGTTTTGATGTTTTGCTGCTCTTGTAATATTACCACGTATGATTTTGTTTTATTTCCTTCTATTTTCTAGGTTATTTTTTCGCTTTTAGGCTTTTTTCTAGGTTTATTTGGCTCAAATGGTATGGTTTGTGTGATCGGTTTAATCGCATTATATTACCTCGTTTGAAGGGTATAAATATTTTGTTTGTTTTTGTGTGATTCATTGTGGGGCGGGCATAAGCTGGAAACAATTTGGTTGCTCTAATAGTTTTTTAATAAGTTTGTTTTCTTAGTGGGCATCCACTCAAGTATTGTCGGCGTAATCATCGCAGTCTTAGTTTAGTCTGAGAACTTATTTAACTCTGGTGATTGGGATTCTTGGCTTTTTCCTCAAAATGACCTTCATTCGAGATAACCGCATGAAGTTTATGGTTGATTAAGTTTCTTTTGGCAATTTTTTTGTCTCATTGGTTTTCAGCTCTTTTTTGTGGACAGTATTGCATCTCGTATTTGTGATGTATCGCTTTGAATTAGTGTAAAATTTAATTTAATTGCGAGGGAGAAGTTTCGTTAATACTTTAAGGTGTCTTTCATCTTTCAGAGAGCCGATAAAATGCTGCCAGCCTCCGTTGCAACAGCCTTTGCTTGTAGTTGATGAGGAAACTATAGAACGGGTTTGTCGTACCGCAGCGTCTTGTAAGCTGAACATCCTCTTGCTGTTGACTTGCTTCATCACATTTTTAGAGATGAGCTTTCGCTGAAAGTTTTGAATCTGCATTTTTTTTGCCGTAATCATTGGTACATGAATCGAAATAGACTATTTCGTTGGATTGGAGCTTCTTTACATTTGCAGAAGCAATTCTCTTGTTATCGGGAACTAAACTATTTTCCTGTAAACAATTTTTTTAACAAAAAATTGAACTTACTTTATTATTGAAACGTAACAACTTACAGGTTTTTTTCCCTCTTGGCCTGTAATTAACGCGGTTGTTTTTGCATCCTGAGGTTTAGGGTTAATCCCTGCCGGACATTGTTTTTTATCGTATTTCCATCGACCGACTCAGTCAGGTTCTAATCTTACTTTCATCGTCGGAGCTTTGATCTAAAATGGCAGTACTAGCCATGATGACCATGTATTTTCCCCGATAGTGCGTCACTTTATCGAGCTCGCCCAATGCTTCCTCGGATTCTTCAATATGGACGGAAGTTCCTTTTCCCTCTACGGTTACGCCCTGGAGTGGTTTTTTGAAAAATTGATCCCGTAACTTGTTAGCCTAAAAAGTTAACTTAGCTCCAAAGTTAGGCTATGGGGGTCCAGAACTTAACCAGTTTTTGTTTTTTCTTTAACCTGTGCAATTGCAAAATGAGTGTTCATTTTTTGAGTCTAAAGATGGAAATTTGTCGACGACAGCTCGGTCAAAGGGTATAGTTAAAGTGTGCTTTCAGGCGGTTTAGTTGAGTGCCGTGTAGAAAACGAACGGTGTAGAATGGTCACTATTCTTTTCTATATTCGACTTTTCTAGAATTTTAATATTTTCGAATTATTTGGTTACACGTGATAGTTATTTCAGTGTTTTGTTATTTTATTATTTTTTGCAATCTACAACTTTTTGAGTGAACAACTTGGTTTGAATTGTTGCAATCAGCACTTTCCAAGTTTAAATGGAGAGTTTGCATAAAATCAACAATGAAAACAAAATCCGGTGGCAAACTGGGGGGTAGGTTTGTGTAGTTAACTTTTAAGAGACTAAGTAAACGAGTTGTGAAGTGTTTTGTTTTAATTCTTGATATTTGGTCTTGGAACCTCAAAGAATTAGTTAAGTTCCTATGAAAGTTGACCATGAGGTTAGTTCTTGTTAACAATCCGTAGCAGGTCGCCAATCTTTAGCTTATATTCTGGAGAGTTGAGCTACTTGAACCGTTCATCATTTTTAGATAGCTTGTATTCAAGCAAGCAGACCTGCTTGGTTTCCAAATACCACTTAGAATAGTACACTAATAGGCAATATCTTAGGTGCTCCAAATTTCACTGGATTCCGAATGCGAGCCTTAAATCTTCGTCTACCAAAAAGTATTTTTGGCAAGAAATTGAGCGTCAACAACTTGATACTGACCCATTACCGACTAACTTCTTTTCTTTTGTTTTTTTTTAATTACAAACAAGCATAATTGGTCTCCGATTGGACCAAAATTTACAATATTTTCAAAAGATTTCAAACGAAAAAACGAAAAGCAATTCACACCAAATATAAAGTGCTGAAGTCTGCTGGATTAATTCGACATCACAGATTTTCTTGTGCTGTAAGCAGGTATCATGATGATTGCAAGTGTTAATCATTATAATTTCAGAGCGACTCAAAATTTATTTGAAAATATCACAGAATCATCGTTTTTTTCAGTTCAACTGGTGTCTGCTCAAAGTTTGTTGGCTTTGTTTCCGCTTTGTAAGATTTCTTCCATTGATTGTTTTCACTTCAAATGTATTTCTTGGCATGATTGACTACATTTTTTAAATTTAAAGTAGTTATGAAAACAATGTGATTGCATTTTTAAATTTGATTTTTTTCAGACCTCTGGAAGTTTTTCTCACTTTTGCAAAAGTTTTGCTATTCTCGAAAAAATTTTGTATCGATTTTTAAAAGGGGGTTTCAATAGAAAAACCGCCTACTCCCTTGTGTGCGCGCATACTCCTCTATTTTATTTTAACTTTAACCCACCTCGAAAAAGTCTGTGGGAGAATATTTGACCGGTCTTTTTGATGCGAGGTACGATCTCTCACTTATTCCCACCGGGAAAATGTAGGGTGAGATCGCACACAAAAAGTAGGTGTTTTTGGCCGCAATCTTTGTTGGGAATAATTTCAATATCAGAAGCTGCTTTGCCGAGGGACTTGCGATAAAGTATGTAGTCCCAGAACCCAGTCCAATCAGCACTTTAATTCGTGCTGCAATCAGCACTTTACAAGCTTAAATGGCCAGTTTACAAAACGAATCAACATTGATAACAAAATCCGAGAGCAAACTGGGAGGTAGGTTTGTGTACTTACGCTTTGCACGTGATAGTTATTTCAGTGTTTTGTTATTTTATTTAAAGTGATTGGGTTTGTTACAGTTCTTACACGATTTACCCGTTGCCGGGCAATTTTTCAAATGGCCTTCTCCAAACACTCTACCACATCTCGTGCATTGTTTTTGATCTCCTTTAGATCTTTGAGTATTCTTGTTTTCATACTGCTTTCTTCTATTCTGATTTTGACCTTGTCGTTTAGGGTTATACCCCTTGTTTCCAATTGCCATAACCGGTTCTTGTTTTATTTTCATTTGTGAATTTGAAAACAATCCTGAGTTGTTAGTACTCGCTGAAGATTTTTGAAATGCTTGAGTAGTTTGCTTAGTCTGTTCAAATTTTAGTGCACGCTTTAGAACTTCTTCGGGAGAAAATGTTTCAAAAGTTAATGTGTCTTGAAGAACGACATTTCTCATCCGGGAAATAAATAGATCTCTCACCAACTCTTCTTCCAGTCCTCCCAACTCCGCCTTTGCTGCTTGTGCAGTCAATGCCGCATGAAATGATTCGAGAGTTTCATTCGTTTCATGAGATCGTGTAAACAATTTGTATCTCTCATAAGTAATACATTTCGTCTTTTCAAATGAGATTTTGGCTAAACGCACTATGTCCCGAAAATTCAGTTTGAATATCTCTGTGTGAGGATTCTTTTGAATAAACTTTTTCTTCCCTTCTGCGCCCAAAGCGAGAAATAATCTTGATGTCAAACGTCTTCCAACTTCATGATAAAATATGTTGTGTCCCACTTTAGGTCCTCTCAAAACCCGCTCTTCGTTTTCTAGAACCACTCTGTCCCGTGCCAATCTGTTCCGGGCTTCTCTCTCTGCTATTGCAGGCGCATCCTCGTTCTGCACTGGTGGTTCCGGAACTGGTAGAGGTTCTTCCAGGACAATTTTGGGTTCTTCTAACATTACTTCTGGATCCACGTTCTCTTTGACCGTAACAGCTAATAGGAACTGATCGAACCATGTTTCGAAAGTCCAGGGAGGATCTAAATTTGCAGATGCCCAGAATACTGGGATTCCCATATCTGTTCTATTGTCTTGAGCTGTAAAACCGGATCCTGCTGGCTGCGCCATGTGGTAACTGACACAACCTCTGAGGTTTATAATGAAAAAGGCTTGGTTTCGAAGAGTTAATTTAATGATTGAAACCGTATTGTTTTTCTAATAGTTTTCTTATCTGTGTTCAACTGTGCACCGAGCCACAGATCTGAGAGTCAATCTCTCTTTTTAGTCTCAATAAAGGTCACACATTATTGACCTTGATTTACATAATAAGATAATATAATTTATAAATAACAATATGAACAACTGAGTCAAGGCCACAATATGGTTACTGCAAATGCAGTAGCAGTTGCGTTACCACAGGGGGGTAGGTTTGTGTAGTTAACTTTTAAGAGATTAAGTAAACGAGCTGTGAAGTGTTTTGTTTTAATTCTTGATATTTGGTCTTGGAACCTCAAAGAATTAGTTAAGTTCCTATGAAAGTTGACCATGAGGTTAGTCCTATGAAAGTTGACCATGAGGTTAGTTCTTGTTAACAATCCGTAGCAGGTCACCAATCTTTAGCTTATATTCTGGAGAGTTGAGCTACTTGAACCGTTCATCATTTTTAGATAGCTTATATTTAAGCAAGCAGACCTGCTTGGTTTCCAAATACCACTTAGAATCGTACACTAATAGGCAATATCTTAGGTGCTCCAAATTTCCGATTCCGAATTCTAGCCTTAAACCTTCATCTACCAAAATGTATTTTTGGCAACAAATTGAGCCTCAACAGCTTGATACTGACCCATTACCGACTAATTTCTTTTCTTTTGTTTTAATTACAAACAAGCATAATTGGTCTCAGATTGGACCAAAATTTACAATATTTTCAGAAGATTTTAAACTCACAAACGAAAAAAGCAAAAGCAATTCACACTAAATATAAAGCGCTGAAGTCTGCTGGATTAATTCGACGTCACAGATTTCCTTGTGCTGTAAGCAAATATCATGATGATTGCAAGTGTTAATCATTATAATTTCAGAGCGACTCAAAATTTATTTGAAAATATCACAGAATCATCGTTTTTTTTTCAGTTCAACTGGTGTCTGCTCAAAGTTTGTCGGCTTCGTTTCCGCTTTGTAAGATTTCTTCCATTGATTGTTTTCAATTCAAATGTATTGCTTGGCATGATTGACTACTTTTTTTAAAATTAAAATAATTATGAAAACAATGTGATGGGATTTTTAAATTTGATTTTTTTGAGACCTCTGGAACTTTTTCTCACTTTTGCAAAAGTTTTGCTATTCTCGAAAAAATTTTGTATCGATTTTTAAAAATGGATTTCATTAGAAAAACCGCCTACTCTCTTGTGTGCGCGCATACTCCTCTATTTTATTTTTACTTTAACCCACCTCGAAAAAGTCTGTGGGAGAATATTTGACCGATGTTTTTGATGTGAGGTATGATCTTTCACTTATTCCCACCGGGAAAATGTAGGGTGAGATCGCACACAAAAAGGTGGTGTTTTTGGACGCAATCTTTGTTGGGAATAATTTAAATATCAGAAGCTGCTTTGCCGAGGGACTTGCGATAAAGTATGTAGTAGCGTGGTGGCCACCCTGTTGGCAACCACAGGCAGTAGAGCCGACTTTTCCATTCCAGTCGCCAACCGGGATGAGGATCTCAGAACCTGGAACCCTGGAAACAGCATGTTGCAGTTGGTCAAAAAACGCTTGACGGCTGCGGGCAGGCTATATTAGGTAACATAAACTGAGACAGAAGTTAGAACTTCATTTCCAATTCTCAATTTGAGTTCGATGATTCTGTCCGAGATAGGATACAAATTTTTTCCCAGCAAACCTTTTCCGCAGTATCAATCGCTCTTTTAGTTTTTTTCAAAAAAAAACTCAACCCCCCCCCCCCCCCCCCGAACAAAACTAGCTCAGCAACTTTTTCTGCAAAAGCAATCGCCCTATTTAAAATTGGATGAGAAGAAAGCGACAGTTACTTTGAAAATTTTGAAAAGAATTTACAAAAAAATTGTGTATTTTAATGATCGAAAAAATATAACTCATTATTGACCAAAAAGACACCCAATCTTTAGGCTACATTATACATGTAAAATGTTTCCCCAGAAAAAGGCTTGGTTGGTACAGGTACGCAACAAAACGTTATCGAACCGATTGAAATGCAGTTCGGAAATAAATAACTTTTTTTTTGGAATTTCAACTGTCTATTCAAATGAATGAATTTAACGAGTTTAGGTCGGTGTCTATTTTTCCTAGACATTGGTTAATTATTCCAGATGGAAAGTTGCAAGCATTATGATGCATTAATGTGAAATAATTTTTGTTGGAAGTCAAGTTTTTTGTAGTCGGTCTTGCATTTAAAACGGTACTGCTTCGATATTGCATCAAATTTTTAAGCAAATAACAGCTGTGTACTTTGTTTAAGGTAAGTATGGAAAAAAAACTGAGGCAGTACATATGCTCGGTATGCAAACGTATGTTTGCACGTGAAAGTGCTTTAGTGAATCATACCAATATGGTTCACCCAATGAAAGAAGAGGAAGGTACTCTTAAACCTAGCATACAAAAGAAGACAAGCTACATCAGTAAGTTCAAAACAGAAATCTCGAAAGTTAGCTCAAAAAGTAGAAAAGGCAAGGTAGTGAAAAAGTTGAAAACTAATATGAAGATGTCATCCAAAAACTCGAGTAATCAGACGCAGGGAAAGGACAAGTTCATACCTAGTAAGTTCTTGCAGATAGCGAAACGACGAAAAGTGATTTCTGGAATTTCTAATTCTCAAAAAATGAAGAAAAAAAGACGAGTGGCTTCTACAGTATCAGTTGATAGCGAGACAACTCTGCTCAGAACCGGCACGCCTGTGAAAAAATGCCAGAAAAAAGAGGAACATTTTAATGCTGCATTGCAGTTTGGTTTCAAGAGTGTCCAGGAAATGTTCAGTAGGAGTGGAGTTAAGTTGCAAATGGAGAGAATAAATGTGCCTGAGAAATTGTGGCCAGTAATTGAAGAGATTGAAAGTCAGTTCAAACGACACAGCCCAGATTCAAAAACTGAAAGAACGAGAAAGAAGACATTTAAGGTCACTGAACTACTAGGAAGGTTCAAATCCACCCAACTTGATGGCCAGAAAAGAGGAAGACATTCTCTGGAAGTAGAAGAGAAGGATTCAAAAAGACCGAAGTTGGATATTGAAACTATCGAAGATAATGAGGATAGAATTGAAAGTTTCTGTCCATCAAAGAAATTAATACCCGTATTAAAGCGTTGTGACTTATCGTTTGGCGTACCTGAAGTGAAGGCTGTCGAAATAACCACAAGTTCTTTGCGAGTTGTTCGGAAACCGAAAAAATTTATCGAGGAACAGCTGGACACTCCTACGAGGAATCCAATATCTTCGAATCAAAAAGTTCAATTTGGAAAGTCGAGAACTCCTAAAAAAGCGGTCGAAGCTCGATCGTCTATCGCAACTCAGGAATTGAGTCCTTTTGGTTCGGAAAAGCACTGGTGTTCTGTTTGTAACCGAGTTTTCTCGCGTCTGGCCGCACTCGAGAAGCATACGAAAAATGACCACAATAGTCCTCTGGTTTCGAAAACAAACTCTGCTCAGTTCACTGAGAAGAACAGAAAAAGACGCAGGAGATCCGAATCATCACCCGAAAAGATAAAATCATCACCGAGTTCCAGAGAACAAACTGAAAGACGAAGGTTCAAAGCTCGACTGGAAAATAAGTTCAACCTTATGGACCGAGCACGACGAGAAAAGGCAAAGAAGCGAGGCTTCGTATCTTCCACTGAATTTGAAGAAGAAAGCTTCAGAACGTTCTGCGAGACCTGCAACCAAAGATTCTCGTCTCTGAACTCCAAGAAGCAACACATGATCAAAGTGCATGGACCAGAGTGGAGACATTTGTGTGTGGTGTGCTGCAAGATATTCCCAGACAGAGGCATGTTGCTCAGACACCAGATCATACATAAAATTTTTGAAGAAAGTATGACAGAACAGAGCGAAGAGACAGTTAATCTGGATCAAGATAATCTTGAAACAATCTTGACTCCTCTTAAGTCAGTGAGTGTGTTTGATCGATTGCAGATGGCAGAAAAAATTCCAAGTGTATTCGAAGATAAAATATTGGATTTCAATCAAGCATCCGAACCTCTGGATCCCCAAAAAGAGGTCATGTTGTATACGAATATGGAAAGCATCAAATGTATTTTCTGCGGCGAGAAATTTCCCGATCTGTTTTCTTTGAACTCACATATTCAGAAGTGCCCTGTGAAATCAGCTTTCCCTGACACTCACGAAGTAAAGGAATCCGACGACAAGGAAGAGAGCAAAGAAAACACAGATGACTCTCATTTGTACAAGCATTCATGTGAGTATTGCTTCAAAGTGTATTCTACAGAAGACAAGATGTTGGACCACCAAAAGAACAGTTGTTCAAACTTTGGGATTTTGAGAGCTGAAGCCAAGAATGTAGTCGAACAACCTGTGAGGCTAAAATTTTCACGCTGTGAATTTTGCCACAAGAAATTCGGATCACGATCAGCTATGAAGTTACATCAACAACTACATTTCAAGGACAAGAGATTTGCTTGTGAGTTCTGTGGACTAGGTTTCGGAGACAACAGCGACCTGGCGAGGCACAGATTAGAGCACAACTATGACGCAGAGTTCAAGTGCTTCGTCTGCAGTCGGATGTTCCTGGATACCGAGGAGCTGTTGCGGCATGAGACTCTTCACAGGCAGACGAACTCGCTCTTCTGTTCTCTGAAACTCCTTGGTCATACGACCCTCGAGCAGACAGAGCAATCTGAGTCTGCAGCTTCTTCAATTCAACTGGTGGATCTGGGCCCAATAGTTGAAGATCTGGTGGCCAGAAAATGGAGAGAAGTGCAATACGCATATTAAATATGCATTCGTCTTCCAAATACCAAAAGGTGTCTTTTTGGGTGGCAACAAACACTTTTGAGTGGCAACAAACACTTTGGGTGGCGAAGAAACTTATTAGGTTTTCTTAGTTTTTTATTGTTTTTTTTTTGTTCAGGAAATAGTTACATCAAAAAAGTTTATGCACCATCAAATTCTAGACCCTCAAACATTGGTTTCTTTTGAAATTCCTTTAAAATGTATTGGCCTAATTAAAGGCAATTTACGCTCTAATATCATATTGTGAATTGCTTTTAGTTTCAAAAACGAATTTCAATTTTATGAAATCTCCGCACAATAAAACAACTAAGTATTGAGACAGTTTGTGTAATTGGGTGGGTTAGTTTTAAAAACGTCAGTCGGAAAAGGTTTCTGAAAATTGAAGAGATCTATGCTGATATATTTTAATTTTTTTGAACTTTCAAAATTTGAAAAATACTTTTTTTTGGTGATACATTAGCATAGTTGACAGGTCTGAATTTACATTGAATTCATCACTTGATGGCATTTTGTCATACTTCATTGGATCAAATCGAAAAAGTGTTGAAAAAATTCAATTAGCAAAAACTAAATGGCAAATCTAAAAATGAAATATTACAGAGTTCATGATAGTTATTCATTATAGTTATTTTTATGGTGCATAATGCGAATGTTCTTCGAAGTTGTCACACCTATTATACAGTGCTCACTTAAATCATCCAGACAAAACGCATTAAACTAGAAATTAAAAACACGTTTTCTCAAATTGGGTTGACCTTTAGGTATAAAATGATGAAGACAAAACTTGATTAGAATTTAAGCAGAATGAATATGGTGCAATTCGTTTTGCGAAATTCGGGGCCCAAAACTTAATCCCAAAAATGGATCATTTTTGGTTTTATGGCCAATCAAAAATTACAGCAAAACTACTTGGTCTATCACTGACATATTTATATCAAAGTGAGCCTCCTAGGTGGCCCTACAATCTTCAGGAAGGTTATACGCTCTAAAACCTTGAATAAATTTGTTTTTGTTTGATAGGTCGTTTTACTATACAAAACACCAACTTTTTAAAACAATTTTCAAACATTTTGCACAAGTTTGTTGGGGAGTATAATTTTCTTAAATGTTTTATTTTTTTTTTGTTATGTAAGAGGCTCACTTTTATATAATTAAGTCAGTGATCGACGTAGTAGTTTTGGCGCAGTTTTTCATTGACCATAAAAGCCACAAATAGTCCATTTTTGGGGTAAAATTTTGGGCCTGACCATAATAAAATATCTGCTGATATTTTAAGCAAGTTTTGTTTTTTTCAGTTTATACCGAAAGGCCAACCCAATTTGAGAAAAACGCGTTTTAAATTTCAAGTTAAATGCGTTTTTTTTCCGGATAATTTAAACCAGCACTGTAATACTGCGCAGTTTTTAGCTTCCTTGTTCATTGTCTCTCTCCTAACTGTCTCTTAACTGTGTTGGTGATTATTAGCCTACTTTTTCTCTAATTGGTGTAGTTTGTGATATTTGAATTTTAAGTCTCGTGATTATTTTAGATAAAGTTTTTTCTATTTATAAAGTTCTTAAAAATTGTGCAAATTTAACTTATGTATTTACCAGTTCATCGGTTTGTTTAAAAGTATGTTCTTTTTCTGTTTTTTTTAACTCAATATTGTCGTTTTCAAATTTAATTTTAATGCAGTTAATGTATTTGGATGTTTAAGCTTTAAATAAAATGTCCGTTATTGTTTTATATTTTTATGAACATAGATAAATCATTAATTAAATATAATTTGAAATCGAATCATTTGGGGATCGGTCAATTTCTTTTATTTTTTTTTCATGATACCACATGACGAAATTTTCCACTGGACACTATCCTGTTGCATTTTTTTAGGGCATTATCTTGTCGCATTGTATTAAACCTTGCGTTCAGCAACGGTTTTGCAATCGGGTGCTAGGTTTTTTTTCCCGTAAATTACTTTGTCTACAGGACTCATTTCTAGTGTATTTCTGGACTCAACCTTAGTGGTACCTTCTGAGCGTTGCCGGCGCACTATGGCGACCAGAAAGGGTTGGATGGATCTTGAGCCGAAAACACAAAACTATGGCGACCAAAACTATTACACAGCTGCGTTGGAACTTGCATAGCATCTATTTTCGGCTTTATTTGGTTGCTGCGTGTGGTTACTGCGTGAGACTCATAATCTCTAGGTCGCAGGTTCGAACCCGAGACGTAGGCGAATTTTACTAATTGGAGGCTAATCTCTTATTTTTCTTATTGCATTTTATAGAGCTGCTTTTTTCGTGTTCTTGAATATGCTTTAATTAAGCTGATACAGCATGATGTTAACATAATGTAGCGACAACTTGGGCATAAATAAATTTGTTTTTATAGGGGGGAGAGATTCTTTACAAGGTACCATAAGGAGGGAATAGTTAACATGATCCGGTAAACCTTTAATTCCGCTTGGAAATATTTTTTTTAAATCAACTTTCGAAACTAGAAGTCGATCACGTTGTTCCTGACCTATCCAATTTTGCTGTTCGATAGTGGAGTTTAACTTCCTCTCAGCAAACGAAATGAATTGAATCGCAAAAAAATCAATTTTTTGAGCGTGAACAAAATTAAAGACTTTTTCCCGCAAAAAAAAAATAAACAAAAAAACACCAAGATGTATATTAGAGTATTCATTACATTCATGACTCTTTAAAAGCCTCACCGTGCTTACACACTAAATCGCCGGTTTGGTTTGTATATGCTAAAAAAGACCAGCGCTTTGTAGAAAGCAGTCAGTTCCGTGCTTCAAAATGGATACTCAATTTCTCTGATTTATCTTAAAGGAGCGACCACGCGAGTCTAATAGCTTACCCTTTTCACTGAACCTCGAGATTGATGATTTCCCAACTTAATCCAACATCATATGGGGAAACTACTTATATAATTCATTAGCAGCTCGTCGCACACTATACGGAAGCACATACTTGACCAACCGATAATTAAAAAAATGAATTCAAGGGGCAGCCGTGGTGGCCCCAATAGTCAATGTTGAATTGTTGAAAAGTTTGATCACGACGATATTTTCTGGATTACTTATCACTGGACACTGGGTGGAACTACACTCTGGACGGCTCCCGGCTTGCTGTGTTCACCATCCCAATTCCCAATCAGCTGAGTTCATTCCAATTTTGTTTATTTATTTATTTTTCTTAGTCTCTATACCTTATGATCAAAATAGTAGGTGCTAGTTCTCTTTACCATTCCATCAATAAACTTAAACAAGCGGAGCAAGATAAGTTTGCTGATCCTGTTCACTCTTTCCCTGGCCTGAATCTTGCCCCTAGCACGTCAAATTACTGCCTCGATTACCTTACATCAACCCTCTTAGGAACTGCAAAATTGTTCTCTGGCACGATTTATTAAACAACACAATAACATCGCACCCGAAAAAGGGTAACATACCCCAAAAAACCGAAGAACTGATTGCGACCCTTAAGACTATTCCAAAACTCTTTTGCGTCGTTACCTGTATAAAGGTGCTCCCTATATATTCGACGATCTTTAATATCATTAGACTGTTACCTCATCGACGTGACCAAGCACATTATCAGTGCTTCCGAAAGAGTTGACGAATCGTTAATTGCCGAATACCGAAAACTGCACCAGGCTGCTGACATAGAGTCGAGGACTCTAGCTACTGTGCTGCACTATTTTCCCGACTTCAATAGAATCTTCAAAACACGTGGCACGAACGGCTGGCGAGAAGCGCGAAGCTAAACGGCGAAAGTTTTGAACAGCTACGCAAATCTGAGTCCTAAGCCTAAAATCTCAACAGGCGTGCTCATCGAGTCTCTGGCTCTGAGCCCCTTTGAAGTTGTCTAAACATAACACTCGAAATCGGGTCAAGTCAGTCTCTGATTCTTGTAGTACGTGCTGCGAGAAAATCCTGAAAAATGAAAGCTCTTTCGACTGCTTTTGCTGTGGTTGTCGAGTGCACCTGAATGAAGACTGCACTGGTCTAAGTGAAGCCGCTGTCAATGGAGTACCAGCCTTAGGAAAAAATGCTCTATTGATATGCAACAAACGCGTTGAAGAAAAACGTCAAGATAATTTGACCTAAGCTGCCCATGAAACTACAACATCAAAAGAACTTCGAGAAACTCAAATGAAAACCCTGGAAAACGAAATGACTGACCTAAAAAAACAATGACCGAAATCAAAACGCTGATTATCCAACGCAACCTAGCTCGATTGCCAGTCGCCAAAAACCGCCACCGAAACCCGCCGAGGAACTCGATGGCATTCGCATACGAGGATTTCCTGAATCAACGGAGAAGGAAGCAAGATTGCGCCAAGAACACGATCTCGCCGAAGTTCAAAAAGTGTTGACACATATGGATTTCAATGCCTCAATTGGCGATGTCATACGCCTGCGTCGATATGACGAGAACAAGACAAGAACAATCCCATTAAAAGTGCCCAATGCATACCAACGATGAATGATATTGCTATCTGCGAGGAAACTGAAAAACTCCCCTCAACCAATTTTCCTTAGCCGACAACTGACGAAGGAAGAAGCTTATAAAGAAGACCTTGCCCTCGTCAGAAAAAGGCAACTTATAAGCGACAAGTCTGTAGACAGAAAGGAGTCCAAGATGCAACTCTGTACTTTCGGAAAGGTGGAAACTGGATAAAAGAGAAACTCCCAGATCCCGAAGCACCCAATTGACTAGCAGCGAAGATGAATATCCTTGTTTACTATGTCAGAAGTATTCTTGAGTATCAACGGCGGACCACCTTCTCTGATGCTGTCCAAGTAAAAAACGCTTATCAAGTCATCTGCCTAACTGAAACCTGGTTGACAGAAAGCATCGGCGACGCTGCACTTTTTCTGACATACTACGTTATCCACCGAAATGACAGACCGAGTGACAAAGGCTTGACAAAACATGGTGGCGTACTTATAGCAGTAAACCGTAACATTCCAAGTAGCCAAATCAATTCCGCGTTTCAAGACTGTTATTATCCGCATATCCCTGAACAAGCCGATTATAATAAGCTGCATCTACAGCGCTCCTTCAAACAGTACCTACACATGGGGCATCTCAGATCTAATCGAACTCCTAAAATTCCTGAGGAGTAAGCAATTTGAACAAAGTGCAATTTGTTCGTATATAGTTGGAGATATAAATTTAACTGTACACACTGGCCGTCAATGACTTCAACTTC